GTGTTAATGGCGTCGCATTTCTGCCATGGCGCTAGTAGAGAGTGGTCAACTTTCTCTAAGTTTCGACTCATTGCCTGGAGCACTTCATCTGCGGAGTTGGCTGTGTGGTAGCCCGTAGGAACTCCAAGGTGTTCGTAGAGTTCGTGTTCGCCTAAGATCGCTGGTTCGCCGCCTTGGATGTTAAAAGCGGTTGTAATGGCTTGCTTGCGCCGGCCGTCGATGTGGAGGGTTGCGCATTTCTTTGTGTTGAATGATAACCCTGCCCAGTTGGCCATTTCTGTGGTTGTGTCCAGAAGTCGCTGGAGATCAGATGGATTCTCAGCGATTATGGCCATGTCGTCAGCGTATGCCAGCGAATTGATTTTCTTGCCCATCAAACGGTATCCGCCCCCACAGGCTGTGATGGCATGAAGAATTGGCTCAATTGCCAGGTTGAAGATGATTGGTGATAGTGGGCATCCCTGCTTTACTCCAGATTTGATGTGGATGGCGGGTGTTGGACCAGTGCTGCTCCTGATCGACGTTGTGTTGTTCTCGTATAGTAGTCGGATAACGTCTATCGAGTTGTCGCTCAGGCCGGACCATCCCAGTGACTGGAAGATCGTCTCGTGGGGTATTGATCCGAAGGCGTTAGCAAGATCAAGCCAAGCCACGCAGCACTGTCTTCGGTTCCTTCTTGCGTCAGCGATTATGGATTGCAGGACGAAGTTGTGCTCCGCGCATCCATCCATCTGCAGGAACCCCTTCTGGCTTTCTCCTAGTCTGCTATTTCTTGTTGCCCAAGCGCCCAGCCTTTCAGCCAGTACCGACGTATGGATTTTGGCTATTGTGTTCGATAGCGAAATGGGTCGCCAGTTTGTTACATCCTCACGACTACCCTTCTTGTGGATTAGGATGGTGAGTGAGGTTGTCCATGCCTTTGGGGTGTACTTTAGGCGCTTGGCACAGTTCAGGACTGCTGCGATTATCTGGGCTCCCACATCAAACTTCCTCCAGTTGGAGTATCGCACGCCGTCGGGCCCGGGCGCAGTGTTGCTGCAGCGGATTATTCGTTTCCACACCTCAGCAGGCGTGAACTCTGCTTCGAGTGGGTCACGGTCGCTTATGTTGAGTACCGGCGGCAGTTGTGCTTGCGTCGGCATTGTTGGTGTCGACTGCGTTCCGAGGCTAAATACCCGCGTGAAGTGAGCGTGCAGGTCGTTGCTCGGGATGCGGCAGAACGGTGAGTCATCATCAATAACCTCCCGGAAAGCACGTTGGCGGTTTTTGCGATAGAGCTTCTGGATTCTTGAGGCATCTTGGGCGTTGTAGTTGTTCCCTTTTGGTTGGTTAGGGTTGTTCTGTTGTGCCGTGCCCTGCCTTCTTGGATGTTGAGAATGTTGAGGACGCTCGCTTGGTTTTACCTCTTTCATGAGCTCCTCAAAATTGTCTTCAAACTCGGTGGTGTCTTTCACATGTTTGAATTTTTCAATCCATAAGCGTTGTTTGGTGGTTGGTTGTGCTTCCGGGGGGCTGTCGTTCTGTGTGGTTGGTGCCAGATTTGTTTGGTGGATTGGCAGTGGTCCTGGTGGCTCATCAGGTGTGGGGACTGGTGTTTGGGGCTTTTGTGGTGGTCCAGGTGTTTCTTTCTCCGATGTTGTTGGCGCAGTTTGGGGTGGTGGTGTTCTATTTGGAGTTATCCGCTTTCTGGTGGCTTTACGTTGCCTCACCGGCAAGCAGGTCGCTTGTGGTGTGCCAGCCGTGTCCAGATCGCGGTTCCTGTGTAGGCCAGTCGTTGATGGAGGATGGCGGGTTGGTGGTGGAGTTGCCGATGTTGAGGCAGTGGTGGGTGGAGCTATTGGTGTAGCTACCTTTGTATTTTTGGGCATCCGGCTTCGCTTAACCTGGATGGCTCCTTTGGTTGTTGGTGGCAACGGTGGTGGTGGTGGCGAGTCCAGGCTGGGCGTGGCACTGCAGTTAATCTGGTGTGCCTTGCACCCTTTAAGTGTTTGGAAGATCTCATTGCAGTGCCGACACCGGAATACCAGACGGGACAGATGGTAGCGTCTCAAGTGTTTGCTGAGGTCCCCGTGTCTTTTGTAGAGCTTTGGCACTGGGGCACAGATGCGGCAGTGGACTTCATCTGCTATTGGGACGTCCAGGGGGTAGCTGGTGAGTGTTTCCTCCATTCATCTTCTTAGTTGGTCCGGAAGATTTGATCACGCAGCGTGTTTAAGGCATACTAGGGGAGGAGGGTCGTGTAGTGGCATTTCGGCCATGATTTTCGGGGGTCGAATGCATTTCTGCCGTAGGAAGAGACGAGGTCTCTATATACGTCGTCTATGCAAAATACCTCGTTCCTGCGCTGGAAGACCTGCTTTGTCAGCCGCAGTAGCTTTTCAGCGTCGCTAGGTAGCCCAACGTGTTTCTGAGAAAAACAACCGGTAAAAAATTGTCACACAAAGGTTGCCAGCACTTACAGCTCCTTTTCCAGCATCGATTTGATCACCGTGCAGCCTTTGGCGAGTGTCTGGTTCTGTTTATTGCACAGAATGAGCAGCTGCGGCCTGTTCTTTACCACCGCCGGATCAATCAGGATGTTGTAGAGCACATTGGCAGCGTCGCGCACATTTTGCGCCAAAGTGACCGAATCGACTACGTACACGATTCCTTTGGAGGAAGCCTTGTATTTTTCGAAAAACTGCTGCCGAATGCTGTGGAAGACTGGCAGGTCCACTAGGGTGACGAAGTTCTGCAAAAAAACCGAAAAGTCGGTCAGTTCACTCCCCAAACTGGTAAAAAAGGCGCAGAGCTGCGTTCCATATTTCCCCCCCGATATCTACATGGTGTTGGAAGACTTTCGTACTGTTTTTAGGGGCGCAACCCTTAGACAGTTACTGCTTACCTTCTGCGTGTTGAATTGGCCCTCATTGTCCTGGCTGGAGGTGAAAGTGGCAACGTGCCGGTTGTAGACGAGCTGGGAGTAAATCAGCGTCTTACCAGTGTCGTTGAGGCCGGTCAGCAGCACGTAGCGCTTACCAGAGC